AAAGTCCCCCAGGAGCACAACATTCCTCGTGACAGAACACAGATCAGATAAAAGGTCACAGAGCTCAACATCCTCAGCCAGGGTATGACTTGGAGGTCGATATACAAGCACAAAACGGAGTATAGTCGAGGCTATTATTCAGAATGTCCATACAGAGAACGTCTGCGGCAAGGTTAGGAACGTGAAATTGTACCGGTTTGAAATCAACCTGACTCTGAAGTAGGATACATATTCCACCCCCTCTCCTTCCTATTCTGTCTTTTCTGACAATAAGATAAGGCAATTCTGAAGTGATTTCACTGTTTTCGATTTTTGTGCTAAGCCATGTTTCAGTCACAAACGCAACCGTGGGTTTATAGATAGAAAGGAGATGATGGAATTCAGGAATCTTGTTAACCAAACTTCGTGAATTGAGCAACAAACAAGAAAAACTTGGATTGACATGTTTTCTTTTCAGTTTTTTGACTGGCTGAGGATGCCGGGAATATCAGACTTCTTGACAACCTGTTGTCTAAAAACCACGTAAACTTTTTCACCATTAGGCATTCCTTGATTGAGATCCTTAGCTCTGGCGGAGTTGTTGTTTGTCCATATCGATTTCGGAAGGGGTCATAGATCTGCGGATGAATACATTCTTGAACTCAGGGATGCTCCTGAGTAATCTTGCATTCTTAAGAGTATCGAAGTAAAACCTGCGAGACGAAAAAACGCATTTGATCAAACGTGATTTACCTGCTTCCTTTTTGCCTAGCCTATAGACTTCAACGGGTCTAGCTTCTACATCGAGCACGTCCAAAATCTTACTCACCGCTTTTTCAGTAGCAGCTTGACGGGAGGAGGGCGAGGCATTGTCATGATTTTCAGCTACTCAGCAATCAAACAAACGTGCCCTTTTCTCCGCCTGTACAATCTCATAGATTGGAATCAGTGCTGGAGCATTTTCGAGAAGTGAAGCCGTTATACGATATCACACCATTGACGATGTCTACAATCGATTCTTGACTGCTGTTCATTCTCTTATCGATCGCTATGTGCCAATGAGAAGAATGATACACCCTTTTGATAAGTACCCGCAGCACATCAAAAATCTTTTTCACCAGAGAGAAAGATTGTTCAGTACACTTGAAGACCCCCTATTGTCTGACAGGTATAACAGAGTCAACAGAGATTTCACGTTCCACCTCAAACGTTATCTTGCCTCCAAAGAAAGGAAACTTTCTGAGTGCCGTAATATGAAGAATCTATTTTCATATGTTAGCAAGCGCTTAGGCAAGGAAAAAGAAATCTTTTTGTTTATATGATTCCGATGGTCGTGTTCTTACCACTGATTCTGAGAAAGCCAACGTCTTGGCAGATTATTTCGCTAGTGTGTTCTCATCCACAGAAACTTTACTTGGCAGTACGCCCATTTTAGTCAATTCTGAGTGCCTTTCGCCGATTATCGATCCCAACCTCGTTTATAAATATTTACGCCAAATCAAAAGTTCATGCTCTTTGCCCTCGGACAAGGTTCCCGCCATCTTTTTCAAAACGTTCGCCAAGAAGCTTGCCGTCCCACTGTGTCATATTTTTAATATATCTCTTCTGATGGGCGAAGTCCCTACTCATTGGAAACAATCGGTGGTTACAGCTATTCCTAAGAAGCCTTCCGCTTCTACGCCTGATGAGTTTAGACCTATCAGTATTACACCGACACCGTGTAAAGTTATGGAGAGAATTTTGAAATCATGCCTGCTAGACTGGCTCGTCAAACATGACCTCGTCCCTCATGAGCAGTTTGGTTTCATTAAAAACTCGTCTACATGCTTGCAACTTCTTGAATGTACCCACATGTGGGTGGATGCTCTCAATTCATCGAAAGAATGTCAGTGTCATGTATTTTGATCTAAGTAAGGCGTTTGACACGGTGAACCACGTTAGGCTCTTGGAAAAAATGCATAGTCTCGGCATTAGAGGAGCCTTATTTAACTGGCTCAAGTCCTATCTTTCTGATCGTAACTTTGTCGTGAATGTCCATGGTACCTTCTCGCTGAGGAAAAGCTGTCCCTCTGGTGTACCCCAAGGCGGTGTTCTATCCCCGCTTTTATTTTTGATGTACACGATGGATCTTCCATCGGCGCTTGCATTCGCCCCTGATATCAAGGTGTATGCCTTTGCTGATGACGTCAAAGCCTTTACTAGCTTTGACAGTGGCCAGTTCGCTATTATGCCAACTTTGATGAATGACGTTCTGTCCCGTATGTCCTCATGGACTCATGAATGGGGTCTTAAGCTCAACTTTGCAAAAACTTGTGTGCTTACTCTGGGTAAAAGACTGCCTCATTTTGCTATTGAGGGATTACCTCCATCTAGTATAGTCAGTCAGGCTCGTGATCTGGGGATAACTGTATCGAGTCGATGAATTGGGAAAGTCATATTGA